AAGAGTGGTAGTACTCAAAGTGAAACATCAATGTGTGTGGTCCAGAAATTCCTTCTTATAAGTGGAGCATTTCAGAATCTAGAGGAGCTCTGTTCTACCAGAAAGAGTGGAGCTAGAACTGTTTGGAAAATGCAAGCTTAAACTGGAAGTGCATAGGAGGAAAAAAAAAAAATTCCTCAGGATTACAGTAAAAAACTACAAGTGAGCCGGGCGTGGTGGTGCATGCCTATAATCCCAGCACTCGGGAGGTTGAGGCAGGAGGGTTGCTGTGAGTTCGAGATCAGCCTGGGCTACAAAGTGAGTTCCAGGTCAGTCTCAACTACATAGTGAGACTCTGTCTCAAAAAAACAAACAAACAAAACACAACAAATAAACAAAAAACAAACAAACAAAAAAACTACAAGTGAATAGATTTCTCTCAGATCATTCTTCTCAGGGAGGGAAGTCTTTAAGGAAGAGACCAAGGAGCCCAGTGGCAGGAGGAGAGAGTAGAATCTTTCAAAATGAAAAGATGAAGAGAATGAAACTGTTCTGACTGGTGTGGGGGAAAAGCTATGAGAAAGTTTCCACTTGGCAGTGTGGAGTTCTGAATAGAGTAAAAGGTACCTCAGGGAGGACAAGATCTATAGACAGAAATGATAATGGGTCACCCATGTCACCATGTCCTGATGTCTAGATTGAAAAGCTGGGCCTCTCAGAGCAGGGTGGCCAAGTCCCAGATCGCTGCCAGTAGTCCTGAGCCTGCAGGAGAGGTGTCTGCCAAACACCCTGGAATAGAGTTCCAGGCTGGGAAATTGGTCTCATCTCAGTTGTGTCTCTTAGGCCCCCAGTGTCCTTGCCTTACAATGATTGCCAGAAATCAGAAAAACAATCCTAAACCTTTCCTCCTTTTAGATTGGTATCTTTCTTATCCACAAGATTTCGTCCTTCATTGTGTGTGTGTGTGTGTGTGTGTGTGTGTGTGTGTGTGTGTGTAGGGTGTACATGGCTAATCAGACCAAATGGATCCCTGTATTATGCACAAAATTTGTTACAAATTTATGACATATTGGATTATATCTCCCTATCACAATGGCAGAACTCAAGCAAATGACAACCAGTTATACAGTGAAGGAAAGTTTATTCTCTGGTTGAAGAATAAGTAGAAACTGGGAGAAGTGACTCTCCCAGGTCAGTTTTTTTGTGACAAAAGGATAAAGGTCCCTTTTAAGCCACCCAATTTTTTTGTTACTGGGGATCAAACCCAGGACTTTGCACATGTTAGACAAGTACTCTACCAGCTGATTTTGTATCCTGCTACATTGCTGAATTTGGTTATTAATTTGAGGAGTCTTTTCATGGAACTTTGGGGGCTTTTATATAGAGGTTGTGACATCTGCAAATATAATAATTTAATTTCTTCCTTTCCTATACATATTCCTTTTATTTTTTTCTCTTGCATGATTGCGCTGGCTAATGTTTTGAGTACTGTACTGAACGGGAGTGGTGATAATAGGCAGTCTTCTCTTGTTTCTAATTTTAGAGGGAAAGATTTGAATGTTGCTCTATTTTAATATGATTTTGGCAGTAGTTTGTTATAAATGGCTTTATCAGATTGAAACAAGACCCTTCTCTACCTATTTTCTTCAGTGTTTTTATTTTTTTGTACCATAAATGGATATTGGATTTTGTCCAAGACATTTTCTGCATCAATTGAGATGACCATGTGATTTTTGTCCTGCATCAGTTTATGTGTTGTTAGTACATTTATTGATTTGCTTGTGTTGAGCCATTCTTGCATCCCTAGAATAAAGGCTTTTCTCAGTAGATTTTTTTTTACTACTGCTTCAATGCCATTGCCTGTAATTGACCTGTTTAGGGTTTTTAAATCTTCTTGGTTCAGTTTGAGTAATTTATATGTATCTAGGAATCTATCCATTTCTTCTTAATTCTCCAATTTACTGGCCTACTGGCATGTAAAGTTATTGTTCATAATTTTTTATTTTGGCAGTGTCCAGTGTGATTTTATCTCTTCATTTCTAATTGCATTTGTTTGGGCCTTTTCTCTCCTTTGTTAGCTAAGGGTCTGTCTATTTTTCTATTCTTTAAAACAGCCAACTATTTAATTCTTTAATTCTTTCTTTACGTAGCCTCAGTTTCATTGATTTTTTTGCTCCCATCTTTGTAGTTTCCTTCTTTCTGCTAGCTTTGGGTTCAGATTTTCAAGGACCTTGAGGCACATCTTTAGGTAATTTGGGTTCACTCTCTTTGTAATATGGACTTTCAAGGCCATACACTTCCTTCGTAGCACTGCTTTCATTGCGTCCTATAAGTTCTGTATGTGTAGTTCTAGAAACTGCCTTATTTTTTCCTTGATTTCACCTGTAACCCATTGTTTACTTAGGAGTATATTGTTTGTTTTCCATGCATCAGCATAATTTCTATTTTTTTCTTTAACTGTTGATTTCTATCTTCATCGAACTATGGTCTGGTAATATGCATGGTATAATTTCAATTATTTTATATTTATTTCAGGCTGATTTATTGGGTAACATGCAGTGCATTTTGGAGAAAGTTCCATGTGCTGCTGAAAAGAACGTGTATCCTGATGTTGTGTTGGGTGGAACACTATATAGATATCTATTAATTCCATTGTTCAAAAGTCTTATTTGATTCATAATTCTTTGCTGGCTTTTTGCCTAGTAAGACCCTGTGTTAATATTAAATGAAATGAAAGTGGATATAGGCTTTGTGGTATATAGCTTTGTGGTACATTGCTTTTCCAGTGCATATGAACTCTGGGTTCATGCCTTAGTAGTGCAAAAAAAGTCTTTTTTAATTTAAGGAGTTAAGATCACATTGGAAGGTAGATGCATGCACATCTGTCCACAGGCAAGTATTTGTCAGGACTGCGACTTAATTGCAAAGAATTTGTAATTACCTTATTCTTCCCTTATTTATTGTCATGTCCTCTTTCCTTTCCTTACAAAATGACTACTCTGCTAAAAAGAAAAGTGTATCTGACCTTTGGTAGGAAAATGGATGTACCTTGAAACTATGATATAAAGTAAAATAAGTCAGACACACAAACTTAAATATTACATGGTGTCTTTTATATGATAAATCAGAAATATAAATGAATTAAAGGACAAAATAAGAGATAGACCATAGGAAACAGAGATCTTTTGTAAATTGAAAGCAACCAAGAGATGGAGAGGGAAAGCAGGAGGGGATGTAAAAAGAATTAAGACATCATAGACATGCACCAACTCCCCATAATAAATGCTGTCATTATGTATGCAAACATATACTAATTGAAAGGAAAACTTAAAATTATCAGGGTAAAGTAAATGCCTGTGGTAGGGTGAGGGGCAGTAGTGGTTTGGCACAAGGAGGAAAAGCTCAGCAGGGAGTGGGGTGGCCATGCAGGGGGTCACAGGACAGTGGATTTAGAGCTCACGCAAAGTGAGGACAGTGAAAGGAAAGTGTCGGCATCAAGGACGCTGATGGTATCGGTGCCCACTCAGCACTGCCAGACAGAGGGCTGGAGGATATGAGGATTGAGAAGTGTGTCCACAGAGGGCAGCAGCCTGGTGTGAGACGTCAGATTCTGAAAGTGAAAGTGTGTGTGGGGGAGGGTGAGTACAGAGAGTCTGAGATGAAGTAGGATGAGAAAGGGTGTGAATGCACAAGGTCGATGTTTGCTGGGAGTCAGAGTCTGAAATGTTAGGAGAGGGATCTTGCAGAATCTAAGGAGCAAATGAGATAAAGACAATTAAAACGGATTTCTTACTGTCACAGAAACAAGTTAGAAACATGGAAATGGGGGAAACTAAGAGGAAGCCTGTCACACTGTGTTTACTTAGAGGTATTAGTGTGGACTTGAGGATTTCCGTACATAGACACGTAAAAATCAGTATAGAGCGCAAGGACCCGAGTTCGATCCCCAGTACCAGAAAAGAAAAATCAATATAGAAATAAAATAGTTATATGCAGAGGTGTGTGTGTGTGTGTGTGTGTGTGTGTGTGTGTGTGTCCAGGAAGGAGAGATTTAACAGTGAGGAGAAACTGGGTATGTTGGAAGCAAGTCTGTGGAAATGTCCCATGCTGGGAAAGATTAATTTTGGGGGTGTTTTCCCCTTGGCCCACTGCAGAAACATCATATTTAGCTCTCCATCTATGTTTGTCCATGGGTAAAACTGATTCAGTTTAATTATCTTCTTTAAAATAAATGATATGTTCCTGTAGAGCTATGTATTGAAGTAGCATGAATGGAAGGGACAGAGGCATGTGGGATGAAAAATTCTTCTTTAATGTTCAGCAAAGTGAGCTGCTTTCAAGGGTCCTGGAGGCCTTCGGTAGCAGAGTAAATAGCAGTACGTGAAGGAATTAATTACCAGTGACAGCGGAAAGCTGGGAGCACAGTGGAGTTCAGCAGGCATCACATTTGTACCCCGCCTTCCCCACCCCACTAAGCGGAGCTGACCCTTGAAAGAAGGGAAATGGACATCTGAGTTTGTGGCAACAATCCTTGAAGAATGTGGTACCAGAAACACATGTTCTTTTTTTCCTCTATTTCCTTAATTTTATTGATTTATTCTATTTCAATTTTTATTTTTAGTAGTACCTGTATGCAGAATATGATGCTTGTGTTCCTCGCGGGGAGCTGGGGCCTGTACATTATGCATTTTAATTCTTTTTTTCATCCCCTTGGATCCCCATTTGCACTGTGTTCAGAGATCAGAGCTCTCAAGCAAGACTTCCCTAGTTATTTGGTTCCTCTTTTTTTTTTTTTCTTACTGTTCTTCCTCTTGCCAAGTGAATGGTCATTTTTGTAACATCGGCACCCCGAGTTGCATGTGTTTAATGGCCACAGTTAACATGGCCTCATCCCGGAGAATGGATCTGTCTGCTAACCCAGTAGTTCCACATTGCGGTTTCTGAAATTCTTGAGAAACTTCTCCCAGGCACTGAGGTATTTACGGTGGCTGTTCTCATCTTGCTGAATGCCTGGAGAGCTTACTACTCTTTGGTTTTCATTCATGAGACGTTTGAAAGAAGGGGTAAGACACATTTTTCTGAGAAAGTAGATCTCTTCTCAACATGGCTGCAGAAGTCACTTACGCTGAACTGAAGTTCAAAACTGAATCCAAGCCCTCAGACCCCAACTCAGACTCACCTGCAGGTAAAAAAATAATTTGCGTCTGTCAGAGTTAATGGTGAGGTGATGGGTAAGCACAGGGTCTGTGAACATGGTGGATGAGGTTGGTTGGTTGCTGCTTCTTTCACCTGATGTGTCTAGGAAACAGATAGCTCTGCACAGTGTGTAGAGAAGGGTTAGGCAGCCGTGGAGTTGCACAGCAGGAAAGGTAGGATTTGTGATATTTTCTCTACTCCGACCATTTAAAGAAAATAATACTTTGCTTCTTGCTCTTATCCTTCTGCATAGAGATGTCCATGGATATATATTTTTTTCTAAGAATGAAATCATGTCATATAATATTGAAATTTTTTCTTCCCTACTTAACATCCTTTCATAGGTTTAAGAAAATTATTTCTATTTGTTTGGCACTTTTCTCCCTCTGTGCTGGGGACTGAACCCAGGGCCTTTTATAAGCTTATAATTTAGTGCCCTCCCCTGAGACATGGCCCCCAGACAAGAACACTGGGTGTAACCCTAAGGTGGAGACTGAAAAACTGACTTACACAAAAATGTGAAGTATGATTATAAAGATGATTGCTATAGCGCCTGTCTCACAAGCATAAGGTCCTGAGTTTGATTCCCAGTACCTCCCAAAAGATACTTGCTATAACACTTAAAGCTGTGAAGAGGACACAATCTTTCATATAGTTAAGGGTACAATGAAATACTATGCAAACTTAATAAAATGTGTTAAGAACAATAATACAATAATATGAAAAATGTTCACAATAACAATATAAAAGAATTAGTAGGTCATAAATCATATACATTTTGTCAGTTATGAAGGAAAATGAATCTGTGTATATACACTTTTAAATACTGAAAAGATATACACAAAAGTATTATTATTTTTTTCTCAATAGAATATTATGTGCTTGCATAGTTTCAATAAAGAACATCATTATTTCTTTCCCATTCCTATTTGTCATTATTTTAAATTCTACATTATTAGTAATTGTGTGTCATGCAAGGGAGAAAGAGGAAGAAGAAGAGGAAATAAGGACAGAATTTATTATTCATGCTAATCTGGTTTCTCCTCAGCTCCTAAAGGGAAGGCCACCCCTCAGAGAAGTAATCTTTGTTTTCCCAAGATGCTTCTTGTCCCATTGCTGCTGTTCATCCTTCTGTCCGTTGTGTTCACTGTTGCTTTTATCAGTAAGTACACCAGCTGAATCAATAGGCCACCTTTTCCCTGCAAGAAGAGAATGTGTCCACAAGGAACTCACATTTAACAAGGGGCTCCTCACATTATATGAAAAGAAAGTTTACTTAAGGGAGATAAAATTCTGGGGAATTCACTGGTGATTTTGCCCTTTCTTTCCATTAGACTCGGTGCGAAGACATCTGTACTTCTTTTGTAGGATTGAGATAGCCAGTCCAATTTGAGTGCACAGACACTTGTCTTTTGGGATGAGCAGGTAGACAAGACAAAGGTGGGAAGAAATATTCCAGAAAGATTTGTGACATGAATATCCTTCTAATTATTTTAGTCATGCTCAGGAGTGTATGTGGTCTAAAACCCAATTTAACAGATGTATGGGTTTTTGCATATATCAGCTTACAGTACATGTTAGCTAGAATGACATGGACAGTTGGGGCCACATTTCTGCCTTTGCTGGCCAGGCCAGCCTGGGTGTGTTCACCTGGCACCATGTAGACTTCCAGGGCTGAGCTGAGCTGACCACACCACAGCATTTTAAGGTCTCAACTCAGATCTTGCATAGTGCTGCTTCTGTACATTCTATTGCTCACAGAGAGAATTAAAGGCAGCCTAGGTTCAAGGGATGAAGAAATAGTTTCCATTTCCTGATTGTGGGAGTTACAAAGTCATACTGGAAAGTGACATGGATCCTTGGAGGACTGAAAACTGTGGCCATTTTCGCAGTGTGTCACAGTCATGGAGAGCAACTGAGAACTGTTAAGTAGGGACTCAATCACATTTGAATTACTGAAGTATGCTTTTACTGATGTTTGAATATGGAGGTAAAGAGAGAATTTAGAAGACACTTTCATAATCCAATTGCAAAATAGAGCATCATCTAAAATAGTGTTATTGAAGAAAGAAAATAGGTGGTGGCTTTGAATAATAAAGGAGATAGAGTTAAGGATGTAGAATCTTGGTGAATATTTAAGTCTCAGTATTAAAGAACCCTGGAATGCTATGTGTGACTCTGAAACTCTGACTCTGTAAACAGCAGTCAGAAAGTTATTGGAAAACATAGACAATGCTTTATATAGTTGCATTTTAAACGTGCATCCTACCCAGAGATTTCAGCAGAGAGGACTAGAACTGGAAACTATTCACCCACAGGCAGCTGGTAATACAATGGGAATACTCAAGGTATCACTCAAAAAGATTTAGTGGGAAAATGAAAGATAGGGACAGACTCCAGGGCATGTTCCATTTTAAGAGACATAAATAGAAGAAGTGGAGCTTATAAAAGAGTGCATGAAGCAGCCTGAGAAAGATGGGGCAGAAACAGCGAAGAGCAGCACGCCAGGAGTTAGGTAGGAGGAGAACTGTGGTCTGGTATTGTGAGACGCCCTGTAGGCTGACGATCAATCAGCAGACCTGAGATGGTACTGAAAACTTAATTCAAGAAAGGTTTTAGGGAAATAGTGGAAGTAAAGGCCAGAACATCATGTTTCAAGAAACAAATGTCAAGGTTCAGTATAAGGAGAAAAGGGACAAAATTCAGTTTATAGGGGAAAAGGTGAGTTACTTATAAATTGGGGAAGGCAGGTGAGTGTGGGTTACAGAGTAGTTGAGAGTTGGGTTGTACGGAGAAAGTTAAAGGATAGAAGAGGAAAAGAGGTAAGTGTTGATTTTTTTTGTAAAAATTCTGTTTTCTAAGGTAATCCAGAATGGCTCATATTTTGCTCATTTTTTGCTCCCCAAAGTCTCAGTCTATAACTTCTTCAATGCAAGTATTTGTGTGCCTATAATCTCCCCACCCTAAGAGTGACCTTTTGGGTGCATCTTACATTAAGTTTTGAAAGAAAATATGGCAAATCCTATTAGACCTGTTATGATGGAACTGCCATATCCTCTTTCAACTACTGATCTTTCAGCTTTTCCTAGAAATTTCTATGGATTCCTCATTAGCAGAATTAGGACTCCATTGACTCTAGGAAGATGGGAAAACTTCCAGTCAGACTCTATCTACTGAAGTCATTGGGCATTTCTACATTATGTTTCTATGAGGAATGCAAGAGAGGAACAGTAGAGAACACAGTCATAATGCTGCCAGGAAAAATGAATGTTTTTTTATTGTATTTTCTAGTTTTCTTTCAAAAATATTCTCAGCTTCTTAAAGAAAAGACAACTGTCAAAGAAAGCACACAGAAGCACACAGAATTGGAATGTAAAAGAAGCAATTCCACCAAGGAAGGTAGAATTTTTCTTTGCCTAGAATTCTGTTACTAAAAATAATATGTAAGAATACCAAGTCAGTGTTTCCAGTAAGATTCCCAGGTAGATCATATCAAGAATATAGTCTCATGGTCATCACAAGCTACAGATGTACAATTATACAGGACCTAAAGTTCTTACATGTGTACATTCACTTGTGCAAGGCTTCATTATTATTGTGGTTTTGGATTTCTCTAGACTTTGTTTCATTCTGAGCTTTTTATGGTCACTGCTTTCTCACATCTTAGTTATAAACATTTGATGAAAATAATGGTGGCTCACTTCTTAAAATGTTATTTCCATTTTAAAAACCATACTTTAAATAAATAACATTTTATATTTCTAAAAAGGTCCAATTTCAACCCCATCCTGTACACAGAATATCTCATATTATTAGCCCGATGCATGAGTAAGAGTGTTTGCTACTTCTATAAGAAAATACTGATGTATTATCACTAAGTAAAGTTCATGTTTGTGTGTGTGATCCAAAACATCCTAGAAAGAAGTATTCAGATTTTTTGACCAAAATAACGTGTGAAAGTAGACATCAAGATTCATGTAACTTATTTGAAGTAATTACACGTGCTTGGTTTTTCTCCTATATCACTTACTAACTCCTTGAATTGTTTGCATCCTTGGATATTCACTTTATATTGTGGGTTATAATCTATTATTACTTTATTTATCTTGTTTTCCCAGCTCTGGAGATAGGGAGCTCTTTCACTTGTCTCTTGTATTTCTTTAACTTTTATATGTTTTACTTTCTTACTTCTTTGCTGTCTGGGACTATAAAATACTCTAGATTCCTTGTATTTTTCCTGTGCCTATCCTCTGCTCAACCATTTCTCTAAGAAGCACTGGCTCCTTTTAATAAAGAACGGTAATCTATACCTTTTGTTAAGTTTTATTTTCATTTTCATTCCATTCAATGTATTTTTAGCATTTTGTCTGACTCATGGGTTGCTTAGAATTATGTTGTTTCGTTATGGCAGAGCGGAGCAGCTCTGTGTTATAGCCAAATGTTTCAGCTCAGTGTCACAGCCAAGTGCCACAGCTCTGAGGCACAGCTGAGCTTTATATTTCAGTGTAGCATCTCTAGGTTGCAGCTCTCATTCTTTGAAGACTCCAGAATCTGATTGTCAGTTGAAGAAAAACCTTTTATTATGCCGGTGAGCCCCAGCAGGCTCAGGGGAGTCTGAGTGCTTTTCCAGAAATGAAAGCCTCCTTATATAGGGATCTTACAGGGCTCAACGAAGTGGGGGGTGGGGAGCAGACTTACAGAACATTCTTGAAATAAAGGGGAGGATTACAGAGCATTACTGAAACGCATACATTGTGAGCATGCTCAAGAAAGCAAGGGGGTGGAGTTACAGAACATTCCTGAAACAGATGCCTTGTGAGCACCCTCAGTGTTGCAAGGGGGCTGGGCAGAGCTTAGCGGAACCTTCTTGTGAGGGGCCAGAGTTTAACGGAACATTCCTTAATGGTCAGACAGATAGGTCATAAACCATTTTGATACAGTGGGCAGGAGCCCAGCAATGCAAACCTACATTTCCAAAACAAAACGCTCTGCGAGGAAAAAAAAAAAAAAAAAGAAAGAAAGAAAGAAAGAAAGAAATGGATGGAAGACAAGGGCTGCTCTAGCACTTCTGTCAGTTTAGTTCCAAGTATGTGGAGATTTTCCTGTGTTCCTCTTTTATTAATTTCCAGTTTCCTTCAATTGTGGTTGAAGAATACTTTCTATATAATTTCAATGACTTGAAATGTGTTAAGGTTTGTTTGTGTTATTGTCAATATGTAGTCTATCTTAGAACATATTCCCTTGGCAATAGTAAGAATGGGCGTTCTGTAACTGAGTGGAATGTTCTAAAATCTTGAATAGATTCTATTGGTTGGTGATTTTATTGAATTCTTAAATGTGCTTGCTGATTTTCTGCATGATTTTCACCACTTATAATAATGTATTCTTTCACCCTCCTTTCACTTGTTACCATTTTTTACTTAACATAGTTTGCACCCCTATTATTGGGTACATACCCATTTAACATTATGAGACCGACTCTGGTTTTTGTTGTTGTTGTTGTTGTTATCGTGTCTCTTTTGTTCAAAGGGTGATTTCTCTTGTTCTGTCAAACAATTTACACGTGGCTCTTCCACCAGTGGCCATCTGCTGTCTACTCACTGAATATTTAAAAGGTTACTCCATTTTTCAGTGAGAAAATTTCCTCTTGATTTTTCTATCTTCTATTTCTTTGCTGAGTCTATAGTTTCATTTCTTTTAAAAAATGCTTAACTTCTTTTTTATGCATTTTTATATTGGTTAATTTAAAATCTTTATCACATAATTCTAATATTTTCATTATCTTGGTTAATGACAATTACTGATTTTGAGAGCTTCCTGTTTCTTGTCGGCTGTTTTCCATTCCACCCTGGAAATTTTTGTATTTTCCGAGCCTGCGTTTATGTAAACAGTAGGTTTGCTTTGGCTTTCTCTGATACTACTTCTGCAGGAAAAAGGAACCCTGCCCATTACTGCCTAAGAAGGGAGACTTGGCTTCCACACACCAGGGACAGGGGCTGCTTGTTTTGTCTGGGAACAATGGGAGTTCCAGCTTCTACTTTGGTATTTTTAGAGTTCTTAATACCTATAATAATATATGCTTTTTTCAGTGGTTTCCTTATATTGTACTTTTTTGTCCTTATTCCCAAAGAAGACCAAGTCTGGAGCTGTTGCCCAAAGAACTGGAAGCCATTTAGCTCCCACTGCTATTTCTACCTAGCTAAAGCAAAATCATGGCAAGAGAGCAAGGAGCACTGCTCTAGTCTGGAGGCTCATCTGGTGGTGATCACCAGCAAGGAGGAGCAGGTACTGTCAGACAAGTGAGACATGAGCCAGTCTGTCTGTTGAAGGTCTATTTTTGTTACAAGAAAGGTGGCTCTTACTGTTTTAAGCACTCGACAGTTTACCCCAACAGGGCTCAGGCAACGTGTTTGTTTACATACTAATGAGGTATCATTTCAATGTGTTGATTCTTATACTGAATAAATTCGATAAAATTGTCGTTTTTTATTTCCTGTATGTTATTTTATAAAAATTAATGAAAAAAAGTAATTTTCATCACCTGTTCTGATATGCTGTGGTGGCAGAAGGATTTCAATGAAAGACATAGGAAAGGCCCCCAGTATTCACATTTTACACCTTTCTTTCTGTTTCTGTAAAATCAATGAACCCAAACAAATAGGGAACTGTGAAAGATTTCTCATGGGAGGTGACTAGAAAAATGAAAATAGAGTTCAGCAAAACAATGTCTACCTGTCTACCATGTCAGGAAAAGAAAAATGTGTATAAATATTTTAATACTATACTCATCAAGACATTATGAGATTAACATAAGTTACTTTTGGCCTCTATGATTACAAGAGCTCAAAGTGGTGGCCATTAACTTCCAGACACTTATTAGTATGGCGAACTATGGCTTGGGTAACCTTGGTCATTGAGATTGCTACACGTGCATTTTCAAGTTTTTCTCTAAAGGCTGGCAGTGTAGTGGGTTTTCTGCAATGCACAACGTCCTCTAGGGGCCCCCATACCAGGAAACACCATCAGTTGAAAAAACATCATACTACTTGTTTTTTCCTGAAATGTATATACGTTTTTTTTGCAGAATCTGTATTTTTTCCTGAAATGCCAGTTTGTTAATTCAGTATGTAAATATTTTAAACATTGTGAACTGCTTATAAGAAAAGAGTATTGAATTGAATAGGGAAATAAAATGAAATTATATGAGTAAATCATCAATCAGAAATCCAAAGTATCTCTATTTTTAAATTAATTCTATTGATACATTTAATTTATGCAATATACTGACATCCATTGTTGGAAATTTGTACCTTTACATAATCAATCTTGGTTCTTATTTTTATATCCTCATTCCCCTGCCCTCTCTTCACCCCCTCCCTCGCTCCCAATCTACAAAGATTTTGTTTCCACTATTTTTCATTTTCTCATATTAATTCCATTCCCTTCTTTCCTTTCCCTCCCTCTCCTGTTTCCCTTTCCTCTTTGTCCCTTTTCTTCCTTTTTCACATTATCTATTATACCTTTTAGTCCTTATTTACACTTTCAGTTTCTCACACTAGAGAAACTATTCGGTATTTACTTGTGTGTCCTATTTATATCACTCTAGAGTATTGCCTCAATGTGCATCCACTTTTAGCTATAAATGTCTTTCCTTTCTCATTTTTATGGCTGACTAGTGTTCCATTTTATTAAAAACCACATTTTCTTTATCCAGTCTCCCACTGATGGGCAATTGAGCTGCTTTCAAGTTTTAGCTATTACACATTGCGCTGCTATGAACATGGGTGCACATATATCACTGTGGTATGATTCTTGTAATTCTTTAGGGCAGATACCCAGAAGGGGAATCACTGGATCAAATGGGACTTCCAGTCCTAGTTCTAATTTTAGTATATGTGCTGCTGAAGTGAGCACCCAATCCTAGTCTTCATAATACTTTCCACAGTGGTTTCCCCATTCTACACTCCCACCAGCAGTGGCGCAGGGTTCCTCTTTCCCCACAGCCCCACCAGCATTTGTTATTGGCTTCTTCCATGGTAGCAGCCATTCTTTCCGGGTGAGGTGGAATCTTAGCATTGTTTTCATTTGCATTTCTCAAGTGACCAGTGATGTTAAACATTTTTTCAAAGTATCTCTTAAGTTATAGTTAAAGAAAAAATGATTAAATCTGCAAATGTTTTCTCACATATAACTTTGAAGAATACTGTCTTTTAGTGATAAAATAGGAGAAGCAACTCTGAAATGAGAGTTTGCTGTGATCATAGATGGACTTCACTTCCATGTGAAATGAAAACCAGGCTCACAAGTGATGTATGTAATACTACCAGCTCTTCCGGGGACTTCTAGGTGGCCCTATGTGCTGTCCCTTGATCCTTTCCTTTACTTCTCGTTTGATACAGCCATTAAAATTAATTTCAAATATCATGCTGTACCCAAAATATATATAGTTAAATGTTAATCAAAATTTAAGAAAATGTTCAGGTAGAAGGCAATGTTAACTGATTTGATCACTACACCAAGTATGCGTGTATTGTCACACTGTATCCTATCAATTTTTACAAGTATACAAATAATTAAGGTTTTGAAAATGAGTGTAATTTTTTTTAAAAAAGCAAAGAAGCTCAATTCTGGGTGAGCACTGTAAGGCCATGCTTCCTTTTGTTTTCTTTTCTCAGCACTTCATAACCCAGCATATGAAAACTAATGCTGCTTATTACGTGGGGTTGTCAGACCCCCATGGTCAGAGACATTGGCAATGGGTGGATCAGACACCATACAACGAAAGTGCCACGTGAGTACAGAATTAGATGCCACTAGTCCAGGAAAAGAGGAATTAGTAGATGATTCTGAGATCTAACAGTAATTCAGATTGCGCAATCATTGCATTAAAGAAAGAAAAAAACCTATGCGATACAAAGGACCAGGGCAAAATCTTTTCTTCATGTAAAGAAGCCCCATGCATTGACAATCCCCTGGGAAGGAGATGTGAGGATGGACAGATGGAGGAAAGCCTCTGGGATATCTGCTGGGGGACTTTTAATGCAATTGGGAGGGCAGAGATGTGGGCACAGTTTCCAAGGAAAATGTCTGAGACTTGGGTGGGAGAGGAGCTGTGTGTGCAGGGCAGGGCTGACTTGGGTGTGTATTACCCTGAGCTCCATAGAGTCCGGCCCAGCTCCTTCACTGTCTCCAACCCCTTTCCAAGCACTAGTGGGTTCACTATTGGGTTCTTCTCTCTTTCAGATTCTGGCATGACGATGAGCCCAGCAGTAATAATGAACATTGTGTTATATTAAACTATCGTGGAAAATGGGGCTGGAATGACGCCTCTTGTGATGGTCCTCAGGAGTCAGTTTGTGAAATGACAAGCATCTGTTTAGTGGACACCCATCGTTATACAGCTAGCTAATAATGCTTTCCTTACGTGTAAGGGATGCCCATAGAATTTTAGTTAAGTGGTCAACTATTCCACTTACGAGAAATTAGTTATCTTGCTTATGTGTTTATTGCCTGATGTACTTGTTAAAATATAAGCATTTATTGAACATTCTGCATGTGCAGACTATACCAGAGCCTGGTATTTGTGCACGGAGCCTTTCTGTCTACCTGATAAGGTTCATTTACTGGTGTAATTCTATATGGCCCCTCCACTTATTTCTTCTTTTCGCCCTTTACTTTTATTGATGTATAATTGTCAACTGAAACTAGATATTTTAAATTACAAAATGCTTATTGGATAATATACTACATACATTACCACAATATATCAAGTTAGTTCTCATCTTTATTACTTGCTATTGTTAACTGTTTTATTTTACTGAAAATATTTGGGATCTCCATAAGCAAGTTTCACTTATAAAATGTGATACTGATAACCAATGTCACCACGATAGCATGGATCTTCAAAATTTATTACTGAACTGACAACACATTTCGCCATTTTTCCACTTCAATTCCTTTTAGCACCATTCTGCTCTGTTTCTGGGAGATTGACTTTTTGGATTCTACAAATAAGTGCGATCATACAGTATTTATCATTCTTTGACTTATTTCTGAAGGAATGATGTCCTACATTTTCGTTATGTTGTTGCTAATGAGAAGACATCCATTTTTAGGGTAAAATAATATCCCAATATGTGCATACTTGTGTGTGTGCAGAAAGTACTTTTTCACATTTCCTTTATCTATTCATCCCTCAGTGGATACTTTGTGTTCACATCTTCCCTGCTATTACTAATACTGCAATAAACATGGAAGTTTAGATGTCTCTAGAGAGTGATCATATATATTTTTATATATTTCTAGAATAGGATTGCTAGATCCTGTGGTAGTCTAATTTTGTTTTTTTGAGGAACCTCTGAACTGTTTCGTGTACTGGCTATACTAGTTTACTCTCTCACCCACAGGGCACAAGGATGCCTTTTTATTCACCTCCTTGCAAACACTTGTCTGCTCCTGTCTTTTGATAATATCATCCTAACACGTGTGAGTTGGTATTTCATCTTGTTTTCTATGGCTGACTGATTTTTTCCTCCAAAGTTTCACATTTTGGAGGCCGATCCTCAGTTTGGTGTTGGAACCATTAAGAAGTGGGGCCTTTTAAGTGAGAGGTTGTTAGGTCATGGAGATCTCTGCCCTTGGAAGGGACTGTGTAGTTTTTCTGGATCCGGAGCAATGCTGGTCTTCCTTTTTCCATTAGTATTTTATGGTTTTCTGTATACAGATGTTCACCTCCTTGGTTTAATTTATTCCTAAGTATTTCATTCTGTTTGACAATTGGAAATGGGATTATTTCATCTGTTTTATTTTCAGATAGTTTTCAATTAGTATACAAAAATATGACCAACTCTTTAATATTTACTTTATATCACACAATTGTACTGAACTTATTTCATTTATTAGATGTAATTGTACTTGTATGTGTATGTTTCTATATACTCTGTAAGATTTTTTTCTCTATAAGATCATATCATCTTCAAACATACATTTCTCTTTTTCCTTTCCAATTTGGAGGCCTTTAAATTCTTTTTCTTGTCTAATTTCTCTGGCTAGGCCCCTGAGTAGTATGTTAAATAAAAGTGGTAGAATGGGCACTCTTTCTTCTTGATCTTAGAGGAAAGATGACAAATTGAGTATGATGTTAACTTGAGCTTGTCATCCATAGTTTTTTGACTACCTACCGCCTACTACCTCTACCTCTACCTACTAGATGTATGAACCCCCAGCAACAGGTGGCCCCAGGGTGGGGCCCAGAACCTGGGCTTACCTAGACCATGGTATTGATTCTTTTCAAAGATGCATTTTGATTTGTCCACTAAGTTATCTGTGTTTTTAGCTTTTATTTTTTGGTATTGCTTGTTTACTGATTAGATCTTTTTGTACATTATTAGTTTGCCCCAATTTTTTATTTCCTCTTTGTTCTTAGTAGATTGTGTTTCTAGGCTCCAGTGGAGTTCCTTTGGGTGATTCAATTTGTTGGTGCTTAATTGTTCATCATAGTTAATTATCACTGCTTTTGAACTTTATAGTGTCTGTTATTATGGTATTCTTTACAGCTACAATTTTATTTAATAGAGCTCTGTCTCTCTTTTTCCTTTACTAGTCTATTATAGGTTCATTAATTTTGTTTATTTATTGAGAAATCCAGAACTTAGTTTTATTTATATTTTCTATGTTTTAGTCTTTTATTTATTTCTATTCTATCTTTATTCTTTTATTTGTACTACATTGGCATTATTTGCTCTTCTTCTAATTCCTTATAGACTGTCATGTATTTCTACTATAATATTTACTTTTTCCTTACAGTAATTTTGGACTAACTTTTCTTTATCCAGCTAGTGTGTTTAGGAGCCTTTTCCTTCATATACACATTTTTAGCTATAAATGTGCATTCTGCCATATCCAATTAAGCATATGTTGTATTAAATAAATTTTATTTTGTTATGTTTCTATTTTTGCTTTGTTTCAAGATAGTTTTTACATTCTCTTTTGATTTCTTCTTTGAATCATTCATTTTTCTGTTTTGTTTTGTTTTGTATGGGGGATTCAACTTGGGTCCTTGCACTTGTGAAGCAGGCAACAGAACCACTGAGCTAAATCCCTGGCCCTCTGTATGATTTTCTTAATTTCCACTTATTCCTGAATTTTTCAGGTTCTTTTTTTCCTGTTATTTAGTTCTACTTTTGTACCATTGTGGTCAGAAAAGGTACTTGATATGATGTTGCTTTTCTTGGATGTGTTTTCTGTAATAATATATGTTCTACATGGAGAATGTTCTGTGTATGCATATGAATTATTTTTCTTCTATTGTGATTATCAGAAATGTTTTGCATACATCAGCAAGGTCTATTTAGCATAGAGTGGACATCTAGCATTCTGTTTCCTTATTGACTTTCTGTATATATGATGTATCCACTGTTCAGAGAGGAATATTAAATTCTACTATTGGTGTTTTCAGAGTTTGTTTTTCTGAATGTGGAAATACACTGATGTCTGACTGCCTTTCAGAGCCCATTTGATATTAACATTTTTTAGATGACCTAGTACTGACATGTGGGTTAATAGTTCATTCTTTACGTACACAAAAGCCATCAGGTATACACTCTGTATTGGTGAGGAACTCAACAACTCAGGCACAGAGGAACTATGAGATGTGATTTAGATTTATTAAACCAGTTGCTCAACATGGGTGTGGTGCAACGCTGGGGACACACAGCGAAGCACTCAGCAGCAGTCAAGATTGTTGCAAGGGAAATTTTGCAACAAGGAAACAGTACTGAGGACTGTGCTGCACATTCCTATTCATCTCTTCTTCCTCACAAAGAAGGCTGCAACACTGTGCAAAGTCGAGTTCCTTCGTGGCGCCCAAGTGACTTGAGATGATGATCTCACACTTATCTTTGTGATTAATCCAAGGCAGTCAGCTCAGTCACGCTTATGGACAGCTCAGGAAAAGCATGGGCTGTCCGTCCTGTCATACATCGCTTACCGTTCTGAGAGGAATCAGCGCGAATCTCCCTGCCTGAATGACAGAGAACTGTGGCGTCCGGCTTGCTAGTGATAGTTACTCTGTATGTGAAGAAAATGGCCTTAGAATAACAGTAGCTACATGGGTGGTAGAGGAGAGCTATGGAAAAGACCTGCTTACTAGATGCGCTGCTGAATCAACCCCCCAGCCTACTCTGAATTTTCACTGTGAAAGGTGATAATTTTCTGATAGAATGCTGGTTGATCCCCCCAAATGTAACCATTGATGACTAGATTTTATTGAGCTACAGTTTATAAAAATACTAAAAAGGACATAGTTTCGGAGTACAGTTCATGTGTATACACCTGTAACTATGGTGCCAACCTGTAATACCCAAGTGTGTTACTTCATGTTCCTCTATCCTGTGAGAGAAGGATGCGATTTTAAGCATAGTGTTTTGTCAGCTTTTAAAATTCCATAAAGACAAATGAATAAAATATGCTCTTTTCCCCCTACTTTTCTTTCCTCATATGTTGAGGAGATTCAACCCAGCTTTTGTATTGTTTCAGTAATAACATTCAATTTCATAGGATTCTACCATAAATCAATTTGTTTATCCATTTTCCTGTTGGCAAGCTTTGTTATTTCCACACTATAAGAGTTGTAATTATGAATAAAGCGGCTGCATTCTTTTACATGCCTTTTCTGGATGTCTGTGTTTCCTGTCTCTGAACCTAAGCATGGAATGCATTCGCCACAATAGCGTCGTCGTCAAAAACACTTGAGGGGATGAAAGGAGGGCAGGGACAAGGGGAAAAAATGAGAACCAAGACATGTCGTGTAAAGGTACAAGATCCCAATGATGAATGTAACTGTACTGTATACCTAAAATGTATCAATAAACTCAATTAAAAAAAAAAGAACACTTTTGCAGCCTGGTCACAAGCGGGACCCTCAGAACCTGCCTCAGTCGCCAGATGCAGAAGTGGGAACTGAAACAGTTCTCTATCTCTCTCACAGCCACAGCTTTCATTGGTGGAGGAAAAGCAGCCCAGCAAGAAAGTGCAGCTCAGCGTCAGCTGCGTGGCCTGTGCTGGGCACGGCTCTCTGATCCCAGTGTCACCCCCAGGGCTGCTCCTCAGAGCCTGGGTCTGCATCTTCACAGGCTGTTCCAAGAGGGAGCCCCATTTGGTGAAGCTGTAGCACTAGGCCATGGCCCTGGGCCCAGGGCAACTGAAGAGCCCGAAGGCCTCCAAGATGTTGGGCCTACAGCCCAGCAAGTGCTCCGGGAGCTGCCACCTGGGGTAGTCATGTTCCATTTTAATGTCACTATCCAGAGATTTCATAACTAAATAATTCAGGGATTGAGGGCGAATTATACAACTCAGGGTGAATTATACATCCTACTCAGTGAAAAAATTAATCTCTGATGCCCTTGACATGTCTTCCTGTGGGTGTATTTTCTGTTCATTCACAGATTTTGTCCAGGTGACATTCTGCTTGTCTACCAGACAATACAATCAGAGTAAATATGGTTTACAATTCATCCAAGAGGAGAATGCTAATACATCATTCAGCACACAAGAAGCAAATCCATGACACCAGTTCCAGAATGAGGAAACATATAAAGACAATGTAAGAAGAGTTACACTTAGCCCTAAGCAGACATTGAGCCGACAGGCTATGGTTGTGAGAAATAAAAGCTTGTGGTTGTAAGCCTCACCCAGGTAAGGATTGTTTGAGACACATTTATAACCTGACATTCTAGGGAGAGAGAGGTAACTTTAGAAATACTTTTTACTTCCCACACAAACAAGAGAGTGAGACGGTTGTAAACTTAGCCCGGGAAACTTAGTGAGACCCTGTATGGAGATTAAAAGATTAAAAGGCTGTAGAAGGAGCTCAGTGATGGAGCACTTGCTCAGCATGCCTGGGCCCATGGGCTCAGTCCTCTGTACAGCATTTTGTTTTGAGAATCAATGATTATTATTGGGTGGGTGGGCAAACACTTCTCCACATGTAAGTACTACTTGTTAGGTGGTTTAATTGCAGAGAACTGTGACTTCCTTATCTTTCCATTAACCTCTGTTGTAGGTTTTCCCCTTTCCCCACCAAATAATTTAGTCCTAAAGTCATTAGATATATCAGGAAATGACAGGTGTCTGTGGTAGTAGGGGAGCACTGCTCTTGCTCAGGATGTCAGAGCTCAACAGAAAGAAGGGAGACCATGTACAGTTTGGACAGAGCCAAGCACAGTGAAGTAAATCTCACCCTGGAGATGGAAAGTGTTCCAGCACGGACGACCAGAGAGTGTTGATGGTGGTTACACATGGCATTGACCAAGTGCAGAGTGCCTGGGGATGGGAGAATTGAGTGCTCACTAATCTGAGAAGGGAATTGGGCATCTGTGATTTGGGGTGATCAGTTGCAGTGTCTGAGCTTAAGCAGGCTGAGGAAAACATCCTTGCCTAAAGTCATTTTTTTGTGAGGCTCAGAGGCCCAAATGTATAAAGAGCCCTGTGGGTCTTGTGTCAGACCTCAGCATCTGGGAGAGGTAAGAAGGGTCCTGTGCATGGTGTGGGCTTAGATGTGAAGTAGGATTTAACTCCTAGGTGAGGTGAGGTGACCTGGTATTGGGAATGAGGGTGTCTGTGCAGTGGAGGCCCAGTGTGAGGACTCAGAGCCTGAGCAATATCAGGATGATGTCCTTGCTGGGATGACTGGACATGGAGAGCCAGAGCCCAGGCAGCCTGAGGGAGCTGTCTATGCAGCAGGTGGGTTTCAGAAGCTGAACGGAAGAAGGGGGCAAGGCAGTGGGGAGTCAGAGCCCTACAGGTAGAGGAGGCCTTGACCTGTGTGGTCCTCTTATGTGGATCAGAGCTTGGGAAAGCTAAATGGTGGCAGTGGGATCTGCATCAGGAATGAGAACACGGAGAGCAGAGGCTTCCCTGTGAAGCATAGGGTGTCAGAACCCCAGCACCCCAAGTAGAGCAGGAAGGGCACTGGGGCCGGGGACAAGGACTTGGACTCCAGATTAAAGTCCAAGTAGAGAGAGAATCATGCTTTGGCTGGGAAAGAGTGGCCTTGATGGTGGAGAATCAGGTAGAAGACAATGAACTCAAGGTGATTACTTTAACTGAAGTGAGTTAGAAATGTTGAAATCGACAGATACTAGGATGAATCGTGGCACTGAATGACATTTAAAATATCTGTCTGAGGGCTGGGGATTTAGCTCATTGGTGCTGCCGCCTGCCTTGCAAGCACAAGAACCCAAGTTCAATCCCCCATAAAATCCCCAAAAAACAAAACAAACAAACAAAAAATATCTGTCTGAACTCATGGTTGCTATATTTACATATAGAAATTAACACAGAAAAAAATATATATATGGAGAAGTAAAGTGTGTGTGTGTGTGTGTGTGTGTGTGTGTGTGTGTGTGTGTGAGATGGGGGGAGGCACAGAAAGAACTAAGTGGGGCAGAGTGAAGAGGACTCATTTGGGGAGAGGCGGGCTAGTGGCAAAGAACCTAAATGTCGAGTGTGAGCATGTTTGTGGAAAAGTACTACAAGAAAGATTTAGTTTTTAGAGGAGTTTCCCCTTTGCCTGTGTGGGGGAGTCGTATTTAGCACTCAGTTTAAGTGCATCCTGGGTACAAGTGATTGCATTTAGTTACCCTCACTGTTAGAGCGTAAGTCCATGTGCCTGCAGAGCATGTGTTCAGTTGGTGTGGAATGGAAGGGACAGAGAAGGGCGGGATGGAAGACTCCTTCCCTTCCAACATCAAATAAAGGGAGCTGCTCTCAGTTCTGTCAGGGACCAGCAGCAAAATGAATGGAGGTGCCTTATGCAATTGGTTACAAACTAAAGGAGGAACGGGAGCGCAGCGGGGCAATTCAGAGCAGAAAGATCCACCCGTGCCTTCCCCACCGCGGCAGAGGGAGCCCATTCTCGGAAGGAAGGAGTGTGACGTCTGAATGTGGAATCTAGATTGTGCCTCGTCGGCCACAAATGATGAAGCGAATGCAGTGCGCACAAGTGTTAGCCCGGGTTGGTTTCTACGCAAAGATTCTTACCCACAGAAGAAGGTGTGCTTTCTTTTTGCCTTGAGATCACAGGCCACGGTTCTCTATTTGCTTAGTTCCTCTTTTCTTTTCTTCCTGTTTCTTATTCTTGTCCTTTCAGTTATCCTTTTTTAAAATATTTTGGGACTGTATCGCATATGTTTAACAGCAACAGTCATCACTGTGCTTTCCTGGTAATTGGACCTCTGACTGGAACTGAGCGATTCCACGTTGCGGTTTTCCAGTTCTAATGAGGCCCCTCCCCCGGGTACTGGCCTTTTACTACACTACTCTCGTCTCGGTGAATGAGGAGGAAGTCTGTCACCATGTCTGGGCCTCATGTACAAGATGTTTAGAGGAAAGATGGAACAGATTTTCTGTAAAAGCAGAGCAGGAATTCTCTTCTCGACATGGCCTTGGAAATCACTTATGCCGAAGTGACGTTCAAAACCGAGTCCAAGCCCTCAGGCAGCATCTCATTGTCTCCTCGTGGTAAGAACTTATCTCTAGGGATTGGAGTTAGCCATGGTTTGAGTTAGGCTGGACAGAGGGGTTGCGAACACAAAAGGGGCGATGCTAGCTGCAGGTTGTCTGAGGGCCCCTGAAGCACACGAGTGTGAGCAGGCTGAGTGGTCTGTGCTTCGGTGCTCAGGAGCTGTAAAGATGCTTAGTGGAAATGAAAAATTCATGATGCTTTCTTTACTCTTAATACTTAGAGAGAAGCATATTTTACATGCTATTGTATACCCTTAAATACAGAAATATACATGATTATATGCATATTTATTTTTCAGAAGAGAAATTATATTATGTAATCTCTAGGTTTGCTTTTACCTATTTGACAATATTTTGTAACTTCAGGACAACATTTTAAGATATTATTTAGTATTTTATCTTGAAGAAGGTTTTTTAGACTCCCTGCAGGAGTCTAAATCCAGGGTTGTATTATACACATGCTAGGCAGGTACACTACACCGAATCACGATATGACCACCAAAGATTCTGACCTAAAAGGTGAAATAAGATGATAAAGATTTATCTGATATAGCACATAAATCTTTAAAGTTGTAAAGAATATAGGAAATTATTTAAATATTAAATGACATACTGTGCAATTAAAGTGTATTAAAGAATAAAATATGTTGATTATGTTGATATGAAAAATATTCATGAGTATAAACAAAATAGTTC